TAATATATGGCCATTAAGGGTTCAACAACAGAGGATAGAAGAACAGAATGATAAGTTGTTCAACAAAGATCGAAAAGTTATGCTTAATGTTTAATACACTAGTTATGACTAGCATTAAATTTTTAACTCAATGTCTTTATATAGAGACTAGGAGAAAGGATTATTCTATACAATTGTTGCATGAGCATTTTATGTGGATAAACATAAATAATGTAAGCTTTTACGTGTAATGGAGAGAAGATAAATTGACAGGGAGGAAGAGTCAGCCACCCGTTCATGCAGGATAAAGGTCAGGATAATGAAAAACCAAAAGAACATGGGTCACTGAGAAAAGAGAAGGGGCTGGGGATTTAGCTCAGTGGCACAGCACCTGTTTAGCAAGTGCAAGGTCATGAGTTTGATTCCCGGTACCGGAAAAAATTAAAAAAAAAAAAAAGAGAGAGAGAGAAAAGAGAGAACTGGAAAAATTGGCTCTCAGAAATTTCCTTGGATTTCCATGTGTTCTCTACCTTGGTCAATAAACAAGTGATTGGAATGGAAATAAAGCTACAACTATCCTGGGTGAGTCCTAGATCTCAGTCCTTGACCTTTCTCTCCCATATCTGTCCATACCTGTATCTTTACTAATCGCATCCAAGCTCATTATTTTTAAATACCGTCTGTCCTACCAGCTGCAAATCTACCTTGACCGCCAAGCCAAAACATCCAATTGTACAAAAGCTATCTTTACCTAGATGTCTGAGAAGCAGTTTAGTGTGTCCAAAAACAAATTCTGGTCTCCCCCATCATAGCAAATGGCAACTTCACCTTCTTAATTATTGGTTCTAAAAACCCTGGAGTCATATATAAAGAAGACTAAATCAAGGGCAGGTTTATTTGTTCATTGTTTATTTGTTTATATTGTTCATTGTTCTCTTTCTTACATATTTAACAGTCTAAATGTCTACAAATCCTACTGCCTTTATTTCATACTGTATGGTGGATTCAATCTCACAGTGCCAGCTTGGCTCCACTTGAAAGAAGGCAGTGGCCTTCCCAAGCTGGACATCCTTTGCCCATCCTCCATTCTGAACACAGTAAGCCAAGAAGTCATCTTACAATATACACTGAATCAAATTCTCCTCCAAAATTAACCTTCCAAAGATGTCCTTTCACACTCTAAGTAAAACTCAAAGTCCTTACATGACTCCACACAATCTTATCCCTCTTCTCTAACTATACTTGTATTATTCTTACTGCATTGTACACACAGCTGGCTTCTTGCTGGCCCTTGGAAACTTCAGGCTAATTCTTGTCATAAGGTATTTAAATTCTGCATCACCTTTGCCTGATGAGCCATGTCCAGGACAGACACATGGTTTCATCTCTTCTCTCCTTCAGGTCTTCGAGGCAACATCACCTTCTCAGATTTTCCTTAACTATTCATTTAAAATTGCAGCTCTCTCCCTTACTTTCTCCCCTCACAGGCACTCCTTATCTCCTATCCTATCCTAAATTGTCTCCACAGCTTTTACAGTATTCCATATAGCATGTATATTACCATACACATTTACTTCTTTGTTAGTAACATTTTCTTCTACTAGAATGTAGGCTGTGAGGGCAGGGATACAATCTAACTGCCTAGATGAATGAAGAGTAACTGGTAAATATTTATTTAATGGCATAATTTGTGAGTAATTTCTATGAAGAGGTACCAAGTATTTTCACAGCCTATAGTACATAAATTTGACCTAGTCTCAAAAGCTGGAAAGGGATAACTAAAAGTGAATCTGTAGCTAAGTATTGAAGAACAATGTGGTATCCAGGAGAAGAGAGAAGACCCCAAATATTAACAACATGATTAGCATGACTTGAGTGTGCTCGAAAGTGTAAGAACTGGACAAAAGTCTTAAAGAAAGAAAAGTGGATGGAGACATGGTGAGATTGCAAAGGACCGCTAAGGAGCTTGTAGCTCACAGGTGGGGTTTTATTTCTGAGAGATGTATGAAGCCACTGATGATGAAGTTGCATGAATTGTGTGTGTGTGTGTGTGTGTGTGTGTGTGTGTGTGTGTGCTTGCATGTGCTTTAGAACTACTTAGACTGTGGCAGGAGACATGTTAAAGAGAGATAATGAACAGGGATAGTATACTGCTGTAGTCACTAAATAATCTCCCTGAGCAGAGGTGCTAGGAGACCCTCTATTCACTCTCTTATCCTCCCACTTCTCACTACAGGACTTGTCAAGTCTTTCCCTCTTCTCCTAGCTGGGAAGAGGCTGAAATGAAAGAGCTGCCCCTGCCATCGCCAGCCACTCTTCCTCCACACCATCCCTGATCCATTCACAGCAGACTTTTCCAGGGCTTTTATGGATTTGAATGTTTATTTCAGTCATGTGATTAAGTTCCAAGGTGATGATAAAGGTGTCAAAAACCATGCTTTGTTCATCTTGATGTCCACTGTTGCTAACACGTTAGAGATGCACATGAATGCTTGTTGCATAAGTGATATATTAAATTAATAGCTAGCCTGCCAATGAACAAAATGTTGACAATGTTCTTCTCACTGCTGTTCTGTATACACCAGAAAGCTGACATAAAGGCCTTTTCCACGTAGTCAAAAAGTACATAAGCAACTGATAAAGTCATCTATCAGTTGGTTGGATGTGGATTTAAACCTCAGATATATAAATAGCTCAAAAGTATATAAAATGTTCAAATTATATGAAGACAAATGATGCAAATGGGGAGTAAACTGTACACATAATTCTCAGTAAAGTTCACTGACTTAAAATATGATACAGTGAATTCAAGTAGGAACTCACTAATTAAAGAGCACTTCAAATACCCAAAATAATCTAAGTAGCTTCCCCCAAATCTCTCATTCCCAGAGATGCTGAATCATCAAATGAATTACAATTGTACATTAAAGAAAGAATTCTGGCCACTAGATATTCCTAATAACCTACACTGATCCTCAGCTACTGCACAGTGTGGCCTGTACCTGTACACAATTGTACACACATAGTGATGTATCTGGAAATGCATATACATAAGTATACACATATGCATGCATACACTGATGCAATATAGTTATAAAAAATTATTAAGCAACTCATAGAAAAAGTGTTTAAAAGAGACAGTGATGTATGTTGTATGCTTTTTCAACTACATAATTTATGGTTGTAACAAAGGTTAAATAGTACAATTAAAATGTTTTTCTTTACTAGCCTTTCATTCCAACTATGAAGTTTTCCTGAAACCATAGAATTTTAAATAGATCCCTTTTCACAAATTGTAAACAGAAGATAGTAATTCAAAGTCTACAGAATCTTCTGCCATCTAACAAAGAAGTCCTAAAGTTCAGTGTGTTCCAAAAATGCTGTACAAAGGTTAGACGTTAAAGTAGCTTTAACAGTAGTGTTCTTGAACACTGCTTTCAGTCTGTAAAATTATAATACCTGTAAAACAATGATTTTGTTATGTTTAACACAATGTAAGAAAAGCAAGGTTGATTAAAAAGGTTATTTGCTTGGTAGTTCATTTTATATAGAATGAAATAAATAAGCATTAACTAAAAACTGGCCAAAAAATCTGATTTGTAATGGACATCAGGATAGACCTCAAGCCAAAATATGAAAATGAAAAAACAGAAACAGAATTTTCTAATAAAGAATTTTAAAATGTTATATATATAACGATGTTTATGTAGTGTATTCAAATATAGCCTTAAATTTATATTGTGTTTACTCCAAATAACATGTTTTTCTCCATCAAAAAAATATATGAAAGAGAAGAGTGGAGGGAAGTGGAAAGTTATTTCTGCATAAAACACAGAAGCAAAAAATATTACCGATTAACTAACTTGAAAGAAAGTTATGCTACTTGTGCAGAAACCTTATAAAATATCTGGCTCAGTGTCTAAATAAATTATACACATTCCCTTTCTTCTTTCCAATTTTTTGGTTTGTTCAAATATTGTTGAACAATTATCCTCCTATAATTACATACAAACCTCCAGATATTTGTATCACTGACAATTTTGAGAAAGCACCATTTATGAAAATCCAATTTAATATATTTAACATATTATTACTGCTTACTCTAAAATATAATAAAGAAGCATAGTGACTTACCTGAGAAATTATTGAGTATTTAGTAGTTCAAATAACTCAAGTTACTACATTCTTCTTTTTCCTTCTACACAATCCAGTTCTGTGCCTGCCCCAGGTAACTTATGTTTGCAATACTATACTAACAGGCCACGTGGCAATATTTAATACATTTATAAAAATTGAATATGGTGCTGTGTTCTACAGACACAAATACTCTTTGAATTCTATGAAGTCTCATGCTTGTAACCACACCAAGGATTTCCAAATTTTAGAAATCATGTTCTACACTGTTTGTAGTTTATAAGGCATCAAAGAATTAGACCCTTGTAGTAAGAAGTAGTGAAATAAATGTTAAGCACATTCACCACCAAGTAATAAGCAGTATCAGTGGACCACACTTTTCATAACTGAAAAAGTAACATGATAAAAATTTCATGTCAGAGGGCTGCAGGAAGTGGCTGAGGCAGAATCCCAGAGTCACACAATCCTTCACAAACATGAATATCCCCAAGCGTCAGTGCCACACCTCTTGTGGCACAGGAGCGCCTGTGGTCTTTTCTCCTGCCAGGTGCAAGATGGAACAGGGAGGACCCAGGCTGGCATGCACTCAGTTCTTCCTCAACTTAGCACACCTTTGAAAGTTTCCAACAAAAAGATATCCTTTAGAAATGCACAACGATCGTGTTCTTCTTTTTTCCTTTCTTTATATGAGAAAAATATATGTAAAGAAAAACAAAAGTGAGCATCACTGTCATATTTATGAAAGCTTTATACACACCATTCCTTCCACGGACAGAAAGGGAAATGGAGAATTATAAACTTTTTTGATAAAAAAAAAAAATTAGATTTTTCAGGATCATATGTTCACTCCTTAAAATCCCACAAATAAAAGCTTGTACATGGAAAAGTAGAGATACTTTGAATACTAAAAATCTTTATTCAACAACACAGAAATTTCACAAAAACAACTTTACTGGGCAAATTGAAGTGATTTTTAAAGTTTTTTTTTTTTTTTTTTTTTTACAGTTTTGTACATGCCCCATAAGTGATTTTCTTCAATAAATACACTGTTTTCCAAACGGCTTTTTAAATAATTGCACAAGCATACATACATCGTACACAAATTTCTATTAAAAAAATTTAATAGATAACTGCACAGTTCAGAATAGGAAACATTGTGAAAGGAGTACATTTTGTGGCCCATGTTCCTGATATATCTCTATTTTGTGATTGTGAAAATGGAATCTCTCTCAATACAGTAGTTGCCTTTTATTCACTAGGAATACAGATCTCAGTGTGAAATGCCAAATTTAATAAAAACAAAATCCAAAACATTTAGCTGTTACATGGAAACCAACTGTTTGATATCACTGTGAATTTAACCATGATCAAAGACCCACTACAGCTTTCTGCTGAACATATTTGACCCTGAATAGTGTGTTCATTTAACTGCTTTCCTTTCTTCATTATTTGATTACAGACACTAACAGTTTAAAGACTTTATATGCTTTAGCATTAATTGCGTATCTTACATGCCAGGGGTTCTGAATGGAAGGAAAGAAATATTTCTTTCTTTCAGTGATTACTTCATATTAATTCACAAAAAGCCTGTCATCTCTTGCTCTCTGTAAATGCGTTTAGAGGAAAGAAGTTGTTGGAAATTAAGCAAGAGGAGACATTATTATTTTGCTTATACTAGAGGAAGACCGTTCCTATGTTCTCACCCAAGGATGGATACCTTAGTGCTTTGTGGATGTGCCTCTGTTTCTACACAGACTGGGAGGATCCATGAGAAAACCACTCTGGCCTGAAACCTTGGAAAGAGGTCGATTTATTTATGATATTCTTTGATGTAGTGTACTTGGTGGCAGCTGCAAAAGACAAGTTCCCATCACACTCTACATCAACACCCCAGGGATTCTCCATGGTTTTCCCACATGGTGCTTCTCCTCAAGAAGACCAGACCCTGGGAGTATGGACCACTCTTGCCAAGTTTTTCAGTGAACCTACTATGGGATGGTTAAGGTGTGCAGATGGCCCACACAATCTATATTCTGATCACTATATTCAGACTTTTCTTGATACTGAATATCCAACATAGAGAGGAATTATTAAAAGTTACATTCTATTGGTGTTTTAGAATACTGAAAAATGTCACCTTTCAAACCATTACCCTGAAGTTATACTGATCTGTCTTACAAGTTCTGAATGAGTGGGCACATGGAGAAGAAAACCAGAGAGTCCAGAAGAGTAATATCCTTTTTAAACACTGCCAGTGAGAACTTTATGTGTGTGCTCTACATTCTATAGAGTTTAAACAAAAACATAAAAAGTGGGTGGTATAAAAGAACAATATCAAGAATAAAAACATCAGGGAATTTTTAAAAAGCTACGCCATTCCATTTCAGTAATCAACAGGTGTTCTTTCATTTAAAAATTGAGTTGACATGAAAAGCCCCACATTTTACAATATACAGGTTCATTAGTTCCTTTAAAAAGCAAACAAACAGAAACACATCAACACATGCAATCCCAGAATGTATTTCAGACAGTCAGTCCATGGCTATGTGATCTTTATGATACTGTAGGTCTCCCGTACCGGAATAGAAGTGTATTTTGTTTCTATAATAATCATCATTTTACAGAAAGCAAGTCAACCTTCCCATTCAAGTGTGAAAGTAAGTTTTCATTTGTAATTAGGTGGCTAAATGGTAAACAAAAATAGTGTAATATAAAATAAAAATGGAGCAAGAAAGAACACAAGTGGCTGTCATTGGTCCTACAGCAGAAAGAGAAATTTTAACTAGAAATGCTCAAGTACATAAACATCAAGTAGAAAGCAACTTCAAAATTAACATACAGTACATTTGAGCTTATGGTGATTTAATTTCCTTCTCTGAGCATAGACAGGTGTGGGACCATCACAGCAGACTGCAGCCTGGTGCACAAGGCCAGGCAAGTCACACTTGTCTGGTGTAATGGCATTTGTATACACCTTGTCCTCCTTCCCCCAAGGACTCTAATGAGGAAGTGCTCCTTCTGCCTTTTAAAATTCTTTTCCACCATATCATTTCCCATTCAAAACTACAGCCATAGTTTTAAAAATATTCGCTTGCTAGGTTCTTCAAAATTTTACACTTGTAGCATTTCACTGTGCTCCCACTCTGTCACAGGTTACAATTCTTCTCCAGATCTATTGTGCTAATCAATTTTGACAGGTTCCTGGGTACAGTGGGCTCCAATAACTGGCTGGTGGTAAAGAACTCGGGAGTTGTAGTAACATGGCAACTCTGATGGTCCATGTGTTTTCACTCAAATATGTTTTATTCCAGAAACTGAAAAGTATATTTTTAGCCTAGCCAAAATATAAAATAACATTAAATTAACATAGCATGTGTCCTAATGGAACAGCCCTAAGAATCCTGTCATAAGAAAACCAAAGCCTACTATAAAAGGTGGCCCAGGTTCTATGAAAAATTATTCCCTTTGATTATGGACAGGAAAGGAGCTATGGTGCACTTATGAAATTGCAGGTTGGGGCCCTGCCTTCCCCAAAACAAAAGCACTGAGTGGGAAGAGCAGGACTGGGAGCCATGGGACATTCTAGGGGAAGACCAGGTATCCAACTGGGAGGCTACAAGGAAGGAAGGTACAGAGACAAAATGCCTCATTTTGATGAACATGTTTAATTTTTTAACTTAAAAATATACCCAGCCCCGCCTAAAGACAGGCCTCAATGTATTCAAGTATTAAAACTACCCAGTTAACATCATACATAGAATTAAAACATTTGGATACTTTTTTTTTTTTTAATTTTTCCTACCAAAAGAAAAATCAACAACAAAGAAATAAAAAATTTACACAGCCCATGTTCGGCTGGGAAAAAAAATCAGTAATGGATTTCTTCCCCTAAAATCTGATAACTAATTTTTTTTTTAGCCTAGAAACATCATTTTGTTTGATTAAAGAAATTATACAACTGATTCTGCATTTTCCAACTACTCTGAGTACTCCGCCTTACAATGGGACCCAAGTCAAGTCAACTACACTAAGAATCTGGGAGGTACACCCTTCTGTACAGCTCGTTTGTAAGCAATGCAAGTGCATAACTTCTACTCTAATATAGTGCTCAAAGGATTAAGTGAAACTTTCATAACATCTTCCCCTCTTAGAACCACACAACTGGAGGTAATTGCTGGATGCATGGTTATCTTTTTGTCTTGTAAAATTTAACATCAAGTCTCCAGGGAAAGATGCATGGCCAAACAGCACCAGCATAGTTGCTGCTGCTTCTAGATACAACTGGCAAAAAATATTTAAAGCTAAAATTTATTGCTCCAGATTTGACTCGCAGAACCATACTGTTGTGTATAAACTGTTAATCTCCATAGATGCTCAGACGTGATTGTCTCCTTGTGCCTAAACACACAAAATACAAGCTGCTATCTGTACAGTTTACAGTACTGAAACACATATATTTGAAAATGAAGTATAGATATGTACTTTGCAAAGATACATGATTTTACAGCAGGGGTTTACCCAAACTTATTTTTTTACAGCCACTTTCAAAATAGACAACAACTTCACTAGAATAGCTAAATTACATCAAAGAATCCATGTACTGAAAGCAAATAGACTGGCCGATTCCCCAAGATCCCACATTATTTTTGTCTTTTTTCTTTTCTTTTCCATTTTTTTGAAGAAACCCCTATACATAAAATGAAAATAATTTCTGGATATTTTCTTCAATGGTGGACTAAGCAGTTTCTTAAAACAAGACATGAGTTTGCCCTTCATTTCCAAATGCCTTGAAAATAAGATCTACTACTGCTTTAAAAGAACCATCGGAATGCTTCAGCGCTGGGAACAGGTGTTCTCTATAAAAAAAAGAGCAAGAAAACAAGTTAAGCTTTCCTTCTATGCCAGTGTGAAATAAGATTTTTCTCCTTTATACTTCAGCAATAGGTTTAGTCAGCAATATACAACATAATGACTTGTATGTTTCAACAGCTAATTAAAAAATGCTCAATCTTAAAACATTATGAGAATTAGAATATTATATTTAATGCTATTTGAATATAGTGATTAAAACATATTGGCCTTAAAAATATAGGAAATACAACCTATTATATGTGTAACAATCAAAATACAGGGAGGGTTCCAGCTCCTAACCAACAGAGGGAAGACCGACAAGCACGGGTACTTAAATCTCTGTCTGCTGGCTAGGTGCCTAGGTCACTTGGAGAGAGCTGTCTTGGTGCCAGAGTAACACAAGTGTAGACAGCACAATTTCACCGTGCGACAGGAAAGGATTCACTTTTGCTAGTTCACTTTCTCCATTAATCACTTTGATGATGAATCATTTATTTGGTTCTCTATTTCAAAACACATACCGATTTTGCATGTACTCTTTAATGTGAGACATATCTCAGTTAAAGTGACTGCCAGGAAGTACTCTAACCATACTACCAAAGATGGATCCAAAAACTAAGCTCAAGTTTGACCACTGTTTTTAAGTACAAAATCATAAAATATACGTGCACATGAAAGCTACGGAAGGCTGATGAAAGAATTCAGTGAAGTAACTTCTTTATTCTGGAGAATCTCTTTTATGACAGAATAACAATAAATATCACATCAATACTCCCTGAGTCACTTACCAAATACTAAAATGCTGAATATATTCCTATAATCTAATGATAAAACATAACTATTTTAAAGTGAGCCTAGATTGTCGATAAATTAATAAGTATGAAGCAAACTGATACTAATCAATGATACTCAGTGGAACATAACTTTTTTAGCATAAATGATACTAAGTAGAACATAACTTTTTTAGCATAAATACTCAATAGAACATAACTTTTCAGCAAAAATATTACAAATGATTTTCAAAAGGAGAAAAGCATCAAGTAATTCTTGTAACAATAGGCTTATCTCTACCTTGAAGTTGGTTTTTGTTAAGTAAATGGAAGTTAATGTTCAAATTTTTCTATTCATTAATATTCCAATACTTCCCTATACCATATTCTTCTTTAAAGTGGCTCCTCCTGTTCTACTGCATGTGTTCTAACAGTGTACATAAAATAACCATGTGATTAGTGAAGATATACCAGAAACAACAAACTAAGAGTATATTTTCCTAAAGAGAGAAATTAAAGTTGATTTTAGTCCTTAGACCAATCCAACAAGTTCACATAGAATCTAAGTTGGTTGTTAAAAATATGTATGTTGGGCATGTTGGCACATGCCTGTAATCCCAGCACTTTGGGAGGCTGAGGCAGGAGGATCACAAATTTAAGCCTAGTCTAGACAATTTATGGACTTGTCTGAACTCAAAATAAAAAGGTGTGCCTCAAAATAAAAAGTATTAAAAGGGGCTCAGAATCTAGCTTAGTGAAAAGGCCTTGCACTCAAATGCCAGTATTGCAAATAAATAAATATGAGTATACAACTGATACATTAAATCAATGTTGCTAAATACCGAATATGTACACAAAATTATATGAATACATTTATATACATATGTGCACTTGTTAATAAACCTTGCTAGTAACATTTGAATTTCATATTTTGGGAAATACATGAAAAACTCTATCACAGTGCTCTAATATGTGGGGCTGCTTTTATTTACTTTCCCACACATGAGTTATTTGCTTGGTATTCTCCTATTGCAATAATGTCATATAAAAATAAAAGTGTACTAATTGACTAAGATGTCAATCCAAAATTTAGATGAATAAAATAATCAATTTGGAAAAGAAACCTATTTTTTACTATCACTCGTATAAAAAAATTTACAAACTGTCCTCATAAGCAACAATAAATTTCAATGTGGATGCACTAAGAACAAATTAATATGCTATAATTAATCTAAACCAAGTTTGCATAAAGGTATAAACAAAAAATTCATTTGTGAAGTGTCTTATCAAAACACAAGGCCTGCTGTTCTCATAAAAGTAGTACTGATTTTGTTAATATTTTACTCTTCGTCTTTAAAAGTTAATCCAATTTCTTCTTTCCAGTCCACTACGCATATCTGGACCTCCAACAATGGATTTGGTTGGAGATAAACACCTTTTACTTCTTTCCAAGGTTAACTTTTGAATAATAAATGTAGTACATATATACCCTGATTACACAATCATTAAAGGAACTCTATAAAGTGATAAGAAACATGCCATCCTAATACCCACCCTTCACACATACATGCGGTAAACGAAAACTTCAAAGTTTACACCAGCTGCTAACTTGCATGGCTAATGCCAACTCAGAATAAATTTTATATAAGTATGCATATTTGTATAAACATAGTGATTTTCAACCAGAAAAATTAGATCCAAGTATATCCACACAATTATAGATCTATGGTTACAGATACACATATGAAAAGTAAATATGTGCATATATAGTCATGTATATACACATTGTGTGTATATGTATAACACAGGGGTGCCAATTTATTTTCCAGTGCCAACTGGAAACAAGATTATAAATATATACTTATGTAATCTCGTATCTTGATAAACAGATATGTTTACAAAGATAAACAGAAAAAGTATATGGAGTTCATTTTAAAAATGAGACAATGTCTTTGTGTCTTAGATACACTTTTAATATCTTTTCTAAGTTTTTGTTCTTATGTCCCTTTTTATCCACTCAAATTTTAAAATTTTAATATTTATTCAATTTTTATAGACAATATTTTGAAAATGGAAGCTTACAAAATGCTACCTGTGATCAAAAGTCATTTTCGTCAGAAAAAGATAAACACTTTCAATGCTTGCTAGCACTAAAAATTAATCAAACAAAGCCAAAGCGTCAGAAAAGCATGGATCATCTCTATTTGTACCGTCTGTCGTGAACCCACATCACAGCGACACTATTTTGCGATACTCCTGCGCACTGTGAGGCAGTGAGGCAGTGAGGCAAGTCTACAGCGTCCCCTGGACAGAAACATTCGAGCACCTCACTGCAAGACAAGTGAGCGGGAAAGCAGTGCAGCACATTTTAAAATTTTTTTCCTTATAGGAAGATCTCTGAGGTCAGGAAACATAAAAATAATTAGTTGAGAATTCCCCTAAAATATGTGAGAAAAATTAGGAAAACTACTAGTGCATTAATTGGAATAAATTATCAAGGTACTCACCAGAAATTTGTAATAAGGTTTCTATAACAGTTTTCTTTCAGGGTTTAAAAAATTAGTAAACTCTTTTGTGTCTTAGGAGCTGCAGGGAAGCGCTGTGTATCTAACCTGCAGCCGCATTTCCAGCAGAGTCAGGAGACAGGTACTGAGGCCTGGGCCGAGTTCTTTAATGACTAGCAGGGTGAAGCTATAGTTTCCCTGGGTGAAGAACTTGGCTGAATTACAGGTTTCTGACAAGTCTGTGCAAATTTGGGCACACATCTTCACTAATTCGCTCCACTAATGAGGGTCTCTTTGGAAGAGGATTATCCTAAAGGGTTTGGGGGCTCAGCTCACCAAAGTGGGGTATCAGATGCCCTCAGTGGCTTCCTTAGGTTATAAACAGTGGGGGTCCCAGCTGGGGAATCTTACTCTTGATGAGATTACAGTGCCTTTCTGGTTCTCGGGGGACAGTTATCCTGAGTGACAGGACAGCAGGATTCCGCTGACGGCAGAGGGGGATGGGACAGAGGTGAGGACTTAGTGGTTGCTGGAACTCGGGCCTTATGGGGCCAGATCCACAGCTCCTTCAGTTCCCACTAGGCCTTCTGCCTTCCCCACCCCCAAGAGCCTTTTAGGGCAAGGAAATTTGCTCCATAAAACAGTACATTCGAAGCCCAAGTGCATTTCTATTTACTGAAAACACACAATAATTATTGTATCTGCCAGAAACATTTCAGTTTTTGTTTCTGTTAAATCAGCGGTGGAGAAATAATCAGCCAGACTAAAATAATTAAGGATCCCAAAAGCTGCCACTGTAACAATCTGAAAATGCTTCTGTTTTAGGTTCCTGCTAAGAAACCACGTGGATGGTAGTATCTTCAGGTTAAGCATACATCTACCAGGTATTCTTAGAAATATGTCAAGTTTAATAAAAACTCAGCTCCTGAGAGCTGAAAATGGGGACATTTTTAACTCTGTGCAAATGAGGATAGGTGAATCGGCCATTCACATGAAGAAGCAATATGCAAATGCGGCAGTATTCACGACACTACTCAGGAAACTGATGGCTTTTAATGCAGTTTGACTTGAGGTTTCAAGGAGCAAGTAAAGATAAAGCAAGTAAAGATAAAGTAAAGATAAGTAAAGATAAAGATAAGTCTTGGTGCTGACGATGTTTACCTCCAAATGCATACATTTTAAATTGAGACAATGACTATGATATTAGACATTTCCATAAAGTTAAATATTATCTTTCCAGTGTCTGTTCATACTTTCTTTTTTTGTTGTTTTGTTTTGTTTTGTTTTGTTTTGAGACAGTGTCTAAATTGTTAAGTTGCCCAGGCTGGACTCACACTTTGTGTCCTCATGTCTCAGCTTGCCAGGTGCTGGGATTACAGGTGTGCACCATCACACCCACCAAGACATATACTTCTAATCCAAATCTTTCAGTGATTCCTCAAGACCTTTGGCTACTGGGAAATGGGCTGCCTCTCAAACAATGCTTTCCCAGTGAAAGGTAATAATGGAAACCATTACTCTTACACGAATCAAAACATAATTTCCTCTCATCCTGTTTACTGATAAAAAATTCAAGTCAATTACTCATCTTCTGATTCCCATATAACAATGTGAAGTAAGATTTTTTCTCCAAACCAAATTAAAACAATCTCAAGCCATAGTTAGCCAATACAGCCTAGTGTAAGATCTTTTGAAATAGTATTTTCACTGTGAGGAATCCCATATCAAGTT